AATTGACTCATGAATTCAACTATTGAAATTACTACAATCTCCACAAAACCCCTTCTGAAATGAAGAATAATTAAATATGGGTTAAATGTTATGTATAATGAATCCAAGAATTTGATCATTCTTATTGTTCAAAAGACTAACTATATAAAGTTTTGTCTGAAAGTGTAAAGTGTTCATTTGGTGATTTTCAAATGTGTCAAATACAAGTCGCCTAACTAACCGTAATCTTTAACTTCTAATTATAATGTATAAATTCTACTGTACCTTTTGGATAGACACTAACTGTCTGGATACATGTAATTTTTGAGTTATTATAATTTATGTAAATTATACAGACTTTATTTATCATTCATAAGGTTAGTTTATCTGTGAAGTTGATTGGAAAATCTTAACTTTTAGTAAAATAGATTATTCACAGAGATACTTTATCTTTAGAGTAGTGAAATTTCTATTACTTTTCAAGTGCGCAGTTACCGAAGTTAAAGTTCAAGTAGCAAATAGTAAATTATTTTGAGTTAATTTAAAATCATCGTCAAAAATTACCTAAATTTGTGTGGAGTATGTTTATTACAATATTGGATGATCTTAAAGAGGAAGAATGTATTTGTAAAATCTCAGCGAATGAATTTAAAGTAAATTCAACGTTTCGCCTAGGAATCTGGCTCAAGCTTTTTCAAGGAAACATAATCAAACATTAAAATTATCGAATCTAAATAGGTACATGGTTCACTGTATACTAAATAGATCATCCAATCAACGTTAACAATGTTTAAATTAGGTATTTGCTTTTGTGTGTATGAGATATGTGGTGTGAAACGAAAAGTGTGTTAAGATAACAGATTGTATGTATACGTAAGTGGTGTGAAAAGAAATTTCATTCATTATATATTGTCTCTAGTCGGTGAATTTTCAGGAAACATACAATTTTTATATATGATATAAATCAAAAATGTCACAGCATACATAAAATGAAGATAAATAAACAACATAAAGGAATGAATTCAAAGAGAAAGAATGTATTTGTAACTGAATTTAAATGAATGTTTATGCTAGTTTTTTATTGTTCCGGTTAACTGTTTAATATATTCAGATAAGACAACTGATTAGAACCGTTAAACATAATTGCTGCCATTCAGATACTAAACAATAGATAAAATGGAATAAGGAGTTCAGGTTTATTTATTAATTATTAGTTGTCATAGGACAACTAATCGTATTCCAACTCTCTTATTAAAACTGTTTGGATTTGCCTCCCATTAAGTCGTCACCCAAATACTGTGTAACTATTCGATCAAATTTAGATAAAAGTTCTTATATTGGATGATCATATTTTAAATGTTTGATCGGGCGTTTATATCCTTGAGATGACAGATATATTTTTCTGAATACTTCCGATGAGTTCCTATGGGCCTGATTAAAGTTCCCTTTTACTTAAACCATTTATCTTATTGATTGCTACTGATTAAAATTGATCAACACTGAAGGCTATTCCACATCAAATTAGGCATCAAATAAGTGGCTATGCAGTTTAAAGTCAATAAATCAATCATCAGCATAAAGGAATGATATATATTTTCTGTTATAAAGTTACCTTTGATATCAAAAACCTAACACTACACTGCTCAACTTTATTAATGATAAATATGACTTTCAGTTTGGAACACTGTAATTATTTCTTGACGTTTCTTGAAATGAGTTATCAATGTATCTCATTCCAGTATCATCTTAGTTGTTAAACCATCTTCTAGTTATTTCCAGTTGCATAATGAAACTACTTTCAGAAATATCAGTTTAGGTGTTGTGGAGATTGTTAAGTTTTTGGTTGAAATCATGAGTCAATTGAAGCTAGACCACCATGGAAAACCTGGAAGCACTGGACGGCCGTTTCGTCCTATTATGGGAATCCTCAGCAGTACGCATCCATGATCCCGCACCCCGCGAGATCCGAACCCAGGCGCCAGGCGCTTAACTAACTAGACCACTGAGTCGGCATCCAATGGTGTTAATGTCTAACCTCAACCAATCCACGAAATTGTGCGACCATCTTCCATTGTACTGAGGTAGACACCTGTTTCTACCCGACACGGATTAGCTCCACTGGTCACAGAAATATGATGAGAAATATGATTCTCATTTACTTTCTTTCAAATTTTCTCTATTTTTCATATATTAAGAAGTTATATTATATAGATGCTTTGACTTTGTAATCATCTTTAAATATCCGAAAATTCATACAAAATAGATAGAAAACTTGAAAGTTTATGTGTGTTTTTTTTCCGAATGACAAAAGTATTTAGAAATGTTAATTGAAAATAATACCATATTTACTAAAGTGTTCCTTATTCATTTTGTCAATATTGAATGAATTCACTTTACTTCACGAGAATCAGCACACTATTAATTACTAGTATAGGGGTTGTGGAGATTGTTAAGTTTTTGATTGAGATCATGAACCGATTGATGTTAGACCACCACAATTGAAAACCTGGAAGCACTGGATGGCCGTTTCGTCCTATTGTGGGACTCCTCAGCAGTGCGCATCCACGATCCCGCTTGCGGGATTCGAAGCCAGGGCCTTCGGTCTCGCGCGCGAACGTTTAACCAACTGGACCACTGAGCCGGCATCCAATGGTGATAGTTTCTAACATCAACCAATTCACGAAATTGTGCGACCAACTTCCGTTGTACTGAGGTAGATACCTGTCTCTACCCGACAAGGATTAGCTCCACTGGTCACGGCTGAGGAGTCTCACAATAGGACGAAACGGCCGTCCAGTGCTTCCAGGTTTTCAATTGTGGTGGTCTAACATCAATCGGTTCATGATCTCAATCAAACACTATTAATTATTAGGACATTTATTATTCAATAATAATAATAATAATAATAATAATAATAATAATAACCTATTTGCGTCCTGTAATCAGTTATGTTAAAATTACATAGTTGATATAACAACTAATAAATTATTCATATTTTCTTTTATTTTCCTTTCTATCCATTTTAATATTCCTATTTTAATTCAGATCTTACTTTAGGACATTTTCGATTGTGTATGTGTGTGTGTGTGCATATTTCAGCTTGAGTATATGTATATTTGTATGCATGCAGGTGACATCTACTTTATTCACTTTGATATTTGTTTTTATATTCTACAAAAAATAATACTCTGAAATAGTTCCATAGTTGTTTGATTTTATAGTAAACGGAACTATACAAACAGTGTTTTTGTTGTTTGATCATATTCTCAATAATAATAATAATAATAATAATAATAATAATAATAATAATAATAATAGTGATGATAATCATAATGAGATCATAATAGATAAAATAACATATTCGATTGTCCATTATGCCTAACTGGATGTAAAAACAGGATTTTTCTCCTATTTTTGGGTCTGTTGTTATTTCCCGTTTTGTTTTGTTTTTAGTTTCCTGTCCGAAATATAAACAAAAACAACTGTCGAAAATATTTTATCCGACTCTTTCTGTTTTATATGTTAGAATTCTTATATTTAATTAAATATTTTCTAATACACTAAGAAGAATAGACTAGGTAAGATTGATACATTGTTGTTTGAATCTTTTAGTTACTTGAATGTTCCGTTGTTATATAACATTGAATGAGAAGAATATTATTCTGTTTATTTTTTAAACAGAATGCATACAGATGTTATTGTCTCTTTGGTTGGTATGAATGAATCTTAGATGAAAAAGATTTATTTATAATCAGTATAGTAAATACTAAAGAAAAATAGCTATTAAGTATAATTACCTAACAAGCGTTTGGTGAAGAAGCTGATAAAATGCAGTCTTCTGGTAGCACTAAGTAACAATGCTCGGAATGCACTTCTCTCCCTCTAAATGCAAGTTGTTGCTTCAGGACTGGCCTGCATCAACACCTGAACTGAGGAAAGGAAGTGAAGTAATAGAACGCGTTGACAACTTCACTTATCTTGGAAGTCTGATAAGCCCTAATGAGTTGGTGTCTGACGAAATATCAGCACGGATTCGAAAAGCTCGTTTGGCATTTGCCAACTTACGTGACCTATGGCGAAGGCAAGATATCCGTCTATCAATAAAAGGACGACTATACTGCGCGGCAGTCCGTTCTGTTTTAATCTATGGCAGAGAAACATGGTCATTAAGAGTGGAAAACACTCGTAAGCTACTAGTATTTGACCACAGATGTCTCAGAAATATTGCTGGCGTCTGCTGGGATCACCAGGTAAGTAATAATGAGGTTAGACGTAGGGTATTAGGGGGGGATGGTAATTCAGTCGATGAGGTTGTGAATCTTCATCGACTGAGATGGTTGGGCCACGTGTTACGTATGCTTGAACACCAGTTACCACGACGTGCAATGCTAACCGGTGTTCAGGATGGTTGGAGGAAAGTTAGGGGCGGCCAAACCAAAACCTGGCATCAGTGCTTGAAGTCACTAACTTCGAGTCCAAGCCATGTTGGTAGATGCAGACTACTTGGTTGGGGTCCGCGTGACTATCGTAACCAATGGTTGGAGACTCTTAGTGACATGACTCAGAATCGATCACAATGGCGTCGGTGTATACACTCTCTATCTTCCCTTAAACTAAGAGACTAAAATTGCCCCATATCTTTCTTTCTACGAACTAATTGTTTCTTCCTGTACTTTATCTTTATATGCAATCTTTCTTTTATATATTACCACCATTGAATTAACTACTTTTATGAATCTGGTGTTCATCTTGCTGTGCTAATGTGGTATGGCAACTTGGACTGATGCATATATGTGCCTGGTCCTACGTTGTAGCTGACTGACTGACTGACTGACCTAACAAGTGTATAATAACCTAGATAGAACATAGGGAAGTTTTAGTGATGAGCAATATTGTGTTCCAATTTTATTTCATTCCATTAAAATGTATCAATATTTCTGGTAAATGAAACAACAGGAAAACTATAAATTTTTAAAACATAGTTTATAAAGTCTGTAGCAGTTAATTACATTATGACTTACATCAGTTCCCACTAATTTAATATAACATTCCATTGCTTTTGATCCTGCTGAGTTAGCTCGAAATATCATAGATTCTTTTCCTTAATTTAAACAACAAAAAAAGGCAAATAGTTAATTTAGTTGTTTTTTTTTAACAAAATATATTTTCAATAAACAGTGAATAATTGTCTGTAAGAGAGTTACATATATGAGAAAGAAATAATAGTCCAGTAGTTTCTAGGTTTTAATGTTCCTTTAGCTAAATTCATACCAAGGTGTAAACTACAAATTAACAAATTTACACAGATTTCTTGCATTAAAGTTGATAATTTACCTGATAAAATATATTTATAAACCAATATAATACTGGTTATGATAAAGTAGTATGTTATAGAGTCTATTAAGTATTTAAAAAAGAGAACAATTTAGGGACTGATAACAAGAAGTGAAATAACTGACTAGTTCTATGGGATTTCATACTTTATATGATCTCATAATGTCACTGAAAATCAGACGAAAAGTATATTTCAAAGGTGAGTATATGAAAATCAAAGTCTATTAAATGACACATTTTCAACAAAACATTTTAACAGCATAGGGGTTATGGAGATTATTATGTTATTGATTGAGATCATCAAGCTAATCCGTGTCGGGTACAGGCAGGTATCTACCTCAGTACTATGGAAGATGATCGTGAAATTTTGTGGATTGGTTGATGGTAGACACTAACACCATCGGATGCCTACTCAGTGATCCAGTAGGTTAAGCGTTCGTGCGAGACCGAAAGCACGGGGTTCGAATCCCGCGAACGGGATCGTGGATACGCGCTACTGAGGAGCCTCACAATAGGACGAAACGGCCATCCAGTGCTTCCAGGTTTCCAACGGTGGTCTAACATCAATCGGTTCATGATCTCAATCAAAAACATTTAAAATTTGTATCACAACTAAATAAAAGAAGCTGTTGAACAATTTACTATTTTTCACATTGTATTGGACCGAATTTATACTTCCGTCATATTCTCAATGTTTATTTATTTGTTTTGAAAAATTAATTAAATGGACAACCGGAAGTGAATTATGATGATTCATATGATGAATTACTGCCAACTAGACGTAATTTAAATTTTTATCATAATTCTATAACTTATACAACATGAAAAAAACAACTCTCCAATCAGATCATCTCTGTATCTTTGAAAATACCATCCCACTGAAGTTTCTGCTTGTAGGTGTGGTTTGTATTTGGACCATTATAAGCAACAATGCAAGCATGTTCGGGATGCGATTCCCCCCATCAAAACGCAAAATGTTGATTGAGGATTGGGTTGCATCGAAACCTGAACTAATGATAAGGAGTGAAGTATTTGAGCGTGTCGATCACTTCACTTATCTAGGTAGTCTCATCAGCCCCTGTGGTCTGGTGTGTGACGAAATCTCAGCACGGATACAGAAGACTCGACTAGCGTCATTTATAGCGTAGACAGGATATCCGTTTACCAAGCAAAGGACAGGTTTACTGTGCAGAAGTTAGTTCCGTCCTAATTTATGGCAGTGAAACATGGTCGGTAAGAGTAGAGGATATTCGTAAGTTACTAGTATTTGATCATAGGTGTCTTCGAAACATTGCTCGTATATCCTGAGACCATCGAGTAAGTAATGCAGTTGTTAGGAAACGGGTACTAGGTAAGGATGGCAAGTCAATTGATGAAGTAATGAAACTTCATCATTTGAGATGGCTGGGACACGTGTTACGTATGTCCGACCACCGACTGCCCCGACGTGCGATGTTCAATGGTATAGGAGTAGGTTGAAAGAAGGCTAGGTGCGACCAGACTAAAACATGGCACAAATCCATGAAGTCACTGTCAAGTGGACTGAGCCATGTTGGTAGGTGTAGACTACTTGGTTGAGATTCGCGAGAAAATAGCAACCGATGGTTATAGACTCTGAATGACATGGCTCAAAATGGTTTGCAATGGCACAGGTGCATCCACTCTTTGTGTTCTCCTAAATTCAAATCTTCTGAATTCTTCACGTCGCTTTTTTTCTCTTTCCAAATTTATTTCACTGGATTATACTCCTTGAATAATGTCTTCAAACCCTAATCTTTCCGATTACTGCCTATACTCTTACCACCTCTACCACTACGGGATTTGAATCGACAATTATTTTTGTGTGCTAATGTGCTATGGCAACTCGAACTGATGTACGTACGTATGAAGTTCTACGTTTTTACTGACTGATATTTGATCCAAGTATTGTTGTTTAATTTTTTGAACAGTTAACCGGTTTAGGTTAAAATCTAGAATGTTTTTTCATCAAAATTATACATTATGAAAGTTTAAAGTAAAATATGACAGTAAGATATTATGAAGATATTGAAATGAATGATTTCACTCATTTTTGTATTATAAGCTTTAGGTTACATGTGAAATAGTTCTATACTGTATGTTGATGAAAACAAGTAGATTAGCTTCAAAATAATGATATTTTAAATCGTTGTACTAAATATATGGAACATGAAGTAAAAAAGCCTATGTTGTATGTGATATTATTAAGCTAAGTAATCTTAGTATCCTCTGAAAGATGACTTATTTAATTCACAACTATCAGAGGTAAGTAGTAAGCTACATTGGATGTATAAATAGATGTGGGAAAACTACTTGAGAATAGTTACAATTGTAGCTCGATATAATGGATAAAATAAATTCAGATAGATAAATCCTTTAAATAGGTATTCAGTTTGTTTCTTTCAACAAATGATAACATCAATATGTTTTTGATAAACGAATGAGAAATACTTATAAATAAGACGTTTTTTGGATTATCACTATCATATACAGAATGACAAATGTAATAAATGTTTGTTCTTTCCAGACAAATCAACATAATTATATATCCACTTTATTAAAATTAAGATATTCAGTAAAATCGGTTAGATAAGGATCTGACGTTAAGTATTTGTAATAGTCAGTCTTATATTTCTTTTTTTTCTTGAGGTTATCAATAAATTGTATTCAAATCTTATAATTTGTTATACTTTGATTAACACATCTATGACATTAGTATATCAATATTTGATATTCTTGACGATTCTAGATATTTACTGTTTGTGGATAGTTAAGACGATATAGTAGTTTGTTTTTAAGAATTAACATTTGAAAAACTTCATTAACACTGCTTGCAAAAGTTGAAGTCTATAACTAAAGATTCTTATTTATATTTCTATGAATTAATTATCAGATGAGTAAATATATTATTTAGCTCATTTTTTTGGTTTCTTTATTAATAGGGTTTGTGACGACGGACCACCGGCAAACTCGAGGAAGCTGTAAGAGGCTCAGAAGGAGCCGAACACATTTCATCCAATCACCTATCGGAAGAATATTCTAGAATTCCAACGTGTAGCTTCCCGATTGGATAATGCTAATAACCCCCTGTATGCGGATTGGAGGACTGTAATGATGATTTCGTTCTCACTAAAAACTATAAATACCTGACAATTTTGTGCTATGATTGACTGTTTGGAATAATATTCCTTTCATTAGCATTCTGTCTTCTCATTGCGACTTGGAAGGGTTTTGGTGTTCTAGTGCTCTGTTATACGCGGTATATCGAGAAATCAACTTTCAAGATATAACAGGGTTGATATAATAGAACGTCATGACTATATTAAACATAACAATATACTTACGTGCTTTCTGTGATATAAGCAGCTTCAATAAATTACAAAGTTTCTTCAAGTGAATGCAATCAAAATAAAGTGAGAAGCTTAAGAAAGCTTCGAAATATTGATAGACTTATTCTACGGTGTGTTACCTTTTCAACTTTAATGTTAAATAATTAGTAAGCAAAAGATTCAATTCTTAAACAGCAAGTTAAACATCTAGTTTAATACCAGTATAGGGGTTGTGGAGATTATTAATTTTCTTATTGAGATCATGAACCGATTGATGTTAGACCACCGTTGGAAACCTGAAAGCACTGGACGGCCGTTTCGTCCTATTGTGGGTCGTCCAGTGCTTCCAGGTTTCCAACGGTGGTCTAACATCAATCGGTTCATGATCTCAATCAAAAAAATTTAGTTTAATAATAAATTACCTAGTTAAAAATTAAACAAACTGTTTATAGATGTTTAGCTATGAGAATAACTCGTTATCTTGACTTCGGGAATCGTCATTTAAAAACTATTGAGGACGAAAGGTATTATAAAACTATTGGGTATAATGTTGAAAAAGATGTCAGAAGTTACTACTATGTAACCAAATCTACCGAACAGATTAGTTAAAAATGATAATGATTCGGTTTTATATACTATTGTGTTTTATGAATCACATTAATTAATAACTAACTTGTCTGTTTTCATTGTTCCTTTAAACACAGAGTATCATGAAAAACAAAGTTTTCTAATACATAATGTAATAAAAAAAATAATGAGAAGAAAAAAACCTACCATTACTACTTAAATCTTCACGAAGTAGTACTGATAAAAATTCCGCTACAGATAAATCTGGTAATTTTTCAAAAATATTTACAAAACAACTGGTCAATTCTTCTTTTTGTTTAGCTGATAATTTAAGTTCCAAGTTTCTGATTAAATCTAAATATTTTGTTTTGATGAACTATAAGTAAAAATAAAGTGTATAGATGGGAAACATTTAGAAGTATGATATATTATGTATGTAGTAATGATGATACTAAGTAGTTATTTTCAAAACAATTACCAGTGTTAAATAACCCGGATTACTTTCTCTTAGCGATGTTGTTTACGAAATTGAGAGGATAAAAAGCGAATGCCCCGCGCCTTAACCGAATTGGTGGATATGGAGGATTTATCTAAGGGAGTTGGAAAACCCTGATTCCAAACCAATGGTGCACATGGGCTCCAGAATCTTGAGGAAACAAATGGCATATGAATTAGTTGTTGATCATCAGCTACCATGGAACGGCATCTCCTGACGTTGCTCCACCGCCTTGTAGATTAGACTTTTAGATAGATGGCTCTAGGTGTGACCCCCAAAAAAACCACCTGTTTCGGTCTGGGCACCCTGGCAGTATCACAGCCAGCACAAAAATCAGGTGACTTGTGTGGCGCATGTGTATCTACTGCCGCTTTGTACCAATGTTTATGTGTTCAAATAAATAAATAAATAAAACAAATGACATAAATAACTCTGTTTACAACAAAGAATGTCAAGGGTATCAATCTCTCACTAAGTACGTTAATTTTTTCAAGATGATAGTTGTATAGTTCTGGTTATTCATAAAAGAAAACTTACTATTCTTTTCAATTTGTACCATGAAGTCACAAAATTATTATTCTATATGGATTCAAAATATCATTCTAAAGTTTCTATAAAATTAGCCTTCAGTTCGATCATATTTCTATTAAAAAATTAACCGGATTATCTAATGAGGATGATTCATTCTTTATTATTGACAAAATGGTTAAAGATAAACGACACATTTCTCGTTTATAATAAATGATAAATTTGCTTGGACTAACATTTGGACAAGGTCATGTATGCATCACTAACTTTCAACGTAATCTATATATATGGTGAAGACTACCTAGTTTCTATTTTTATGATTTTTGTTTTGTTAAACAAGAGAAAAAAAGTTGTTTGTCTTAATAAGAACGAAATAAATCCCCAAGATAAAAACATATGCTGTTAATGCGTTGAAATTATTCTAGCCAAGAAAAACAGTTACAAAATCGTATGCAACGAAATTGATTGTATATGCTTGGTTTTATTCTTTAATGAATGCTCAAGTATTTATATGATAACATTACGGTTTATAATATTTGAATTAGATGTTCACATCAGGTTAAATATTTCAGAATAAAGACAGTAGACAGATAATCTCCCAATCTATCATCATAGTGGGAAATCAATCAGTCATTCAGTTAGTAACAGCGTAGAACTTCGTACGTACGGTACATCAGTTCGAGTTGCCATAGCACATTAGCACAGAGATGCAGTTGTCGATTCAAATCACGTAGTGGTAGAAGTAATAAAATTATAAGTCGTAATCAGAAAGATTAGGGTTTTCCCATAGTGGGAAATAAAATAGACCACTTGAATTTACCTTGTATTTACTAAGTTAACTGCTCTTGTAAGGCTCGTTACATCAGGCTGATAGTTAAGTAATTCAGACACAAAATTTCCGAATACCATCCTTATTAGGTTACTAAATAGTAGTTAGGGTTGATTAAGAGAACAGCATTTGGTCATTTAATCAAAGTTAAATAGGGTTGAACAAAACCTTTCGGTTTATTGATTGTATGCTACTAAATTTGTCTCATTATATATGTATTCTTCTTTTGCGTATAGTCATAGCTTTCCGCATCCATCTTTACAAACCTGACCTCGTTCATAAGAAATTTGTGGACCCATTCATTTTATTTTGCTCACAAACAAAGGCCTGTAACCTATATCTTACTATTCCTTCTTCTAGGATTTCGCTAAAAAATTTTTAATTTTCTTTGTAGCTTTTTTTCTTGCATAAGTGTAATGTTCTTCTTTTCGTTCTTATGAAACGACTATTAACATTTTACATCATAATCAAATTTTTCTAGTTCACTTGATATTATGCAATAAGTCAGTCATATAACTATGTATTCTATTTCATTAATTTATTTATATCCTTAAGTATTACGATTAGCCTACACACTTTGACGTTTTAACTAGTGTGTTAAGCACCCTGTGAGTTTGTAATACCGTTATTTAACATATTCACCATTTACTTGTCACCATTTTTACCCTTATTGTTAAATAACTTTATTTTAATTGAGGTCATGAACCAATCAATGTTAGATCATCATTGAAAACCTGTAAGCACTGGACGGCCGTTTTATCCTAGTATGGGACTTCTCACAAGTCCAAATTCACGACCTCAGTCTGAGGACTCGATCCCAGGACCTTTGGTTTCTCGCGAACGTTTAACCTCTAGACCACTGAGCCGGAATTCAAAGGTATTAATGTTTAACTTCAACGAATCCTACTTTATCTTAGTGAAAATTTATGGTATAATAATAATATAATGAAAAGTCATTTGAAAAAAATACATATTTCTTTCCTCTACTTATTGTTTGGGTAGTAATTTCATTGACATAGAAAGCTCACTTTAAATAATTTACTTTACATTTATACATTTTTATACAAAAATGTAACAAGTTGGACGATGTTCTTCACTATTTAACAATCAAATTTAAAATATACGTGAGCTGTTTTATATATACATTTTCAATGGAATATATCTTGGGAATTTATTAATTCATACCATGAATAAACGTTAACTGGTTTCTATGTAAATGGGTATTGAGGTCGTTATTGAGGTTAAATGTAAACCGATTTTTCAATATGTTCAACATCTGTTACGATATGTCGTGTTAAAGTGTAATCGTATATGTATATATCACCTGTGAGTATATAACAATTTAACAGATAATAATCTTTATTTAATCCACTAGAAAACTTATAAACAGGGAATGTTGTGAATATTTGCATAGAAGTACAGCACATCATTTTTGTTAAATCGATAAATCGTAATTGCTTACCTCTTTTAATTCATTATAACAAGCAATCGGTAGAATATCAACTGTTTGATAATGAATCATCATTCTTAGTTGAGGTAAAGAATTTTCAGGTAAAATAAAATTATTTGTAACTGAATTACTATTAGGTGAAAGATTTGGTGAAGTAGCACTTGATGTAGACGATGATGATTTAGGAATAATTTTATTAGTTTTATTAAAATTACTATCTGTACTGACACCAGCAGTCCATGAACATTTCTTCTTTGATAGTTCCATATGGTTATACTTTAGTTCATTATCATCATTTAATTTATGATTACTATTAGTAGTATACTGTGAATTGGGTATAACTGAAAATGAATTAGAATATCCAAAACATGAAGCCGGAATCGAATGTTTACGAAATCGTCCTGATACAACATTTGAAGAATTGGTCGATGGTGTTTGATTTGTATCTGTTTGTTGTTGATGACGAACTTGTAAATTTTCTAGATAATTTAAATTTGAATTAGTTTGTGGAGGTTGCATCGTAAACCATTTTTGTATCTCACATTGTTGTGAATCATCGTTTAGTGGAATAGTAACATAACCTTTTGTACAAAATAAAGATATAGTTTTATTCGATAAGAGATCATCATCACAAAATAGCCAACTAGAGCAATTATGATGTGGGCTATTACGTAGTGCACAATAAATTCCGGTATATCAGTGCTATAGGAAGTCATACGAGGTCACAATGATTCAGTACTAATATCGTTTACTAAGGTGGTTGGGAATGTGGTATAAATCTCATTTAGAGTACCAGTTCACTCAAGATTTAGATATACCCTACTGCTTTGTAAAAAAAAAAGCATAAATTCAAGGCTATCTACTAATTATTGTTAACCGTCTAACGTGCCAAATGGAGTATACAGACGCATAGAAATAACTAGTTGCAGAAAAAATCTTAAAGATACACTGATTAATTAATTGGTGAGTAACTTTAAGATACCTGCTTCAATTCAAAGTAGGCACTGAAGATATCATCTGGAGTACTAACAAAAGCTTCACAATCTCATGTTCGTTATCACTTGCCACGATTTTGATATAAGTGACGTAAAATTATCCTCACATAGGGTGTCTTTTAAAAAAAACCTTATTTATTCAATATTGACGAGCTAATATTAGTGTTGTGATATATCTTGAAGCACATTAAATGTGGGTATTTAATTGATGTAGATATTCAGTAACATGGTAATTTAACATGTAGAGTTCAAAGCCACAAAGTTTATCCACTTTTTCAATGTAAGCATTGAAATCCATGAATAATATTCATATTTATTTTTGGAGGCTATAATCAAACTAAAACACTAATCTGAAATGTCTCTAGAAGCCTACAATATCACATACCACTGTAGCTGCCGTTTTATATCTAGATGATGAAGTGACTAAAGTAGTAATCATCCAGTAAGAGAATCCTTTATATATAGTCGTGAATCAATTTCTACATACAATCTTTTTGTTAAAATGCACTTCATTTATTACTTTTCATTCTGTGATCAATAATCATTAATTCTGTGGGGATTCTACTGATATTTTATTAAAGTTTGATTTCCCTAGTACAAAATATAGTATTTAGTTTGGGTTGTGGAGATTGTTCAATTTAATTGAAATCATGAACCGATCGATGTTAGACCAGTGAAGTTCAACCGCGTTGGGTGTGAGAATGCTATCTACTGAGGACAATCGAAATGGTCGCGCAACACCATGAATTAGCTGAATTAATACATTAACACCTTTGGATGATAGCTTAGTGGTCTAGAGTTTAGGCGTTCGCATGTAAGACCGTAGGCGCTGGGCTCGAATTCCGTGTGTGGGGTTGTGGATGCCCACTGCTGGGAAGTCCTATACAAGGACGAAGGCGCTGTCCAGTACCTTCCGGTTTTCAAAGAGATTTCTATGTACAACTTATAAAGATCAAATTCATCGGTCATATAAATGCCATTGTCAGTTGAAACTAGGATGTATTTTGAATTTTTATAGAAACGATGTAATTGGGCTTGACTTGTTTCTTTTTATATACAAGGAAGAACAAAACTGTACATACACACATAGAAATTATACGTACTATACCTTTCTAATATATTTTTGGTTTATTAATTTATACTACTAATAAAGTAATTTTTCAATAACCAGCTTTAATGAAGAAGTTCCACATAAAAATATATGTGAAATAGTTATATATCACATACCGATAAATTGATTCTGATTTTTATTCCTTTGTCGTTTGTCTTTTACAGAAGTTGCTTGCCTGAATAAATTTATTGTCATAATGGATATTATAGGCAAATTACTGTCATTGAATATAATAAAAGAAAAAGTAAGGAATAATAATAAATGATCTTACTTTAAATAAATTAAATAAATTGAAAAAAGAAATATGATAATCATACGAAGACAAATTGAATACAGGATTACCCATTAATTAAAAACAAAGGATAGATTTTGAATAGTATCTATGTCTATTGAACTATTTCAAATAATTGTCAAGCAGACTTCTTTCTTAGCCTTTTTTAAATAGGAGAATATTTTCATTATTTATGTATAATCAATATAGTTTTAGCATAAGTATTTTCATTTTTAACTTTCAAATATGAAACCTTTTGTATAAATACATCTTTATAAAGTAGATATGATGAATTTAGGAATCTACTTTCACGTATATTCACTTATCTGTGGGATTTTTTTTTAACTGAAACAAAATTAAATGGTTTAGAATGGAGCTGTTAACCGTTTTAGCTACACATTTGCTTGACCACACTGAGAGGTTTTCACAAGCCCGAATGTATAAATTCCTAAAACATCTGCCAATATAATAAACAAAATTTCACGTTCATACTTATTCCTATTGTTAATGAACAACTAAAATTCATTAAATGCTAGCATATTAGTGAGTTAGATGTATGATAAAAGTTTTGTTTTAGAGAATCTGTTGTATAATGAAAAGTGGTATTTATAAATTTGCTAATTGGATTTAGTTGTGTTGATGTTAACGTCTAATATCCATTTGTTATCCAATTGGTTACCATTCGAGAAAATAAGACCAAATGAAATTCGTTATCAACTTGAATCAGTTAAATTATGTCCATGTTACTGATGTGTATTCATTTAATATATTCGATAGTGAATGTTATACAATTCTGCCCTCGAATGCCCTGGTATGTCCGAGAGTGGGGAGAGTTAACTTTCTCTCTCGAAATGCTCTCACATGGCCACGCGTATATAGCCTCTGCCAAGGAAGTCCTACTCACTGTCTTCTCTTGGCGGGGGTGTTGTTTACGAAGCTAGAAGGATGAGAAGCGAATGTCCCGCCTTTCAGCCAGGTTAGTAGACACGGAGAGTCTACCTAGGAGAGTTGGAATACTGTGATTCCAAACCGATGGTACACATAGGTTTCAGTAACCTGAAGGAAAAAATGGCGTATAAACCAATCGTTGATCACCGATCACCATGGAATCGCACCTTCTAACGTTGCTCCACTGCTTTGTGGACTAGACTTTTAGGTCAAAGGCCCCGACTGTGACTCCCTAAGAAAGCCACTTGTTTTGGTTTCGGCACGCGGGCACTATCCCAGTCTTCACACAAATCGAATGATTTATGTGGCACATATCTAGTTGGTGTCTCCTTGTACCAATATTCATTACTTGTGATAAGAGGAAACTCTGTCATAACAGTTCAAATATCTTAAAATTTTATTGTAATTGGATTATATATAGAAATAAATACTGTTATAAATTGCCTGGATAATTGGATGTTATAGTGTAAATGAACATAGAAATTAGGTAAAACTGTACATTGTACATTTCCATTATTAAGAAACTGAATTTAATAGCAAATAAAATAAGATACTGACATAAATTTCACTCAGTGTTCTACTGTTCTCAAGTTGTCGAGGCAAAAGCTGCTTCTAGGCAAAAATGGTTAAAATATTGACTGATAAGAAATTATACAAAATAAATCTTTCGTATAGATTCTTCTGACTTTCGATCAAGTGATGTTGGTAAAGAATACTGGATATCAGAATAATGCACATTTTCGCACTTGGAAGACATTTTGATTACTGTTATATCCCGAAGAGAATTATGAATGGTAACTTTTGGAAACTATTTACGAACAAATACGATACATATATATTTTTGTCGTATAATTGTTAAGTAGCTAAACTATGCATATTCGTGTTCCTCTTATTATCAGCTTTATTATTATATGACTTACCGTTCTTGGGTTCTACCCAGTCTACTAATTACAGTCTCTCACATTCACAGCCACTTTTTGCGAAATCTTATACAAAGGTTATTTTCTATTTTATGGTACGATGTAATCTGTTTGGTTTGTATATAAACCCAGTATGATTGAAATATATGATGCAAATCGCAGAGCCTGAAATTGATGTTCTGGACTTAACAGGCAGGGCTAGGCAGGAAGCAGGACCGATAAGGACTCTAGACTGCTCATACGGGTTTACGCATCATTAGTCCGGTCGAAAAATCATTGTTGTCGAATTGGTGGTATCATTACTTTATATATTAATAGGGTACAAGGCCACAAGTTATAACAATTACTTCGTTTATGAGGTATCAATGTCTCGAACAATTTCTATGCAGGTTGAAAAATTAACAATTTAGTTCGTCCATATTTAATGTTTAGATCAATATGGATGCATATTCAAATAGCAGTATAACATTTTGGGTTTTTACGAAAAGAAGTAAATTCAGTGAATACAACTTAAACTTCATGAGAAACCGTCTTGAAGTTTCTTGGTATTGCATTATTTTGAATATATTTAGGAATATAAGATAATGTTTCTTCAAATACATAAGTCATACCAATATATATAAAAACACAATTAGGTATATTCATTCAATATATTTACCAGAAGTACTCGTCAACTTAACATTAGTTTTTTTCAATATAGAAAATATTTTGTGATATCCCAAAAGATTATGAATTGTTGAAATCATCAAATGATTCTTCAACAGTCTAACACAGTAAAGTAAGTAAATTACATTGGATTTTGCATCGACCACTGCGTAAAATAATGTTAACACTGCTAAATATTACTGTAAATGTATTTTAAGAAAAAAACATCTTAACCAGATTTTAAGTAGAAAATTTCAGTTACCATTTCAAACTCTTCATACGTCCTATTTATAATCATAAATAATTTAAGGGATATTTATTTTATAATTACGATATATGTGAACATAAAGAATGGTCTGAATTATTTTTCTCTGGTTAGCGTCTTTTTAGCGAGTTATTTTTCTACGATATGAGGTCTTTAACCCCATGCCCAACCCTCCCCCTTTATCCGGGCTTGGGACCGGCAGTAGCCCCAGAAGAGCTCCAGGCGGAGGAGGAAATCAGGAAGAAGAGCTGAAAGTCGATAGGACACACATTGAGGAAAGCACCCAACTGCGTCTCAAGGTAATCTTTCACTTGGAATCCTCAAGGCCAAATGAGAAGAGGAAGATCAAAGAACACATCGCACCGAGAAATGTAGACAGACATGAGAAGAATGAACAACAGTTGGATAGAACTATAAAAGAAGGCTAATAACAGAGTGGGTTAGAGAATGCTGGTCGGCGGCCTATGCTCCATCAGGAGTAACAGGCGTAAGTAAGTAGGTAAGAACATAAAGTCATAGAAAAAATATGTTATTTCATAGAAATACAATACCAATGACAAACAAACTTAAGTGTAAAATGTGATTATTTTACTTTGTTTAAAATAATATTTATAATGAAAAGATTTAGAAAAAATTTCCAAAAAGATATTCAGTTATTTACTTTAAATCAAATTGTTCCCCCCAGAATACAGTTCCATCTGACAGTTTACTGGTGGTACGCGCATATAATGTACGATCCAAACATATTTCACAAAAGTATCTGTAATAATTAAATAATAAAATATTCTTATCTTTAAAAATAAAAAAACAATAACAGATGGATGTTTATTAAATAATTTTGTTGCGATGTTCATTTGTTGGATTGACAACACTAATGACTAATTACATGACATTTATTCATTCAAAAAAAAGTAATAGGATAATATAGAACTATTTATTCGTGTATACCAGTTTCGAAATAATATGCATTTAATTATTATTTATGTTTTATTGTGACTTATCCGTTTATTTCATGACAGATATTATGCTGCATTTTTGTCATAACCAACGAATAGAAATTTTACATTATACATTACAACCCTAAACTGAAAATTATAATATGCTCATTAAGGACTAGATTTGAGAGAGAAGTTTTGGAGTTCTGGTAAGAAGCTATGACTAGTGAAGCTTAACCATCTTGGATGTGAGGAAATCACATATCGAAGACATTTGGAGCTAGTTGCTCAACATCGTGAATTAATTGTAGTTAGACATTAACACCCTTGGATCCCGGCTCAATGAAGTAAAGATTAAGCGTTCTTGTGTGAGGCTGAAGGTGCTAGATCCGAATCTTGTTTGCAAGATCCTGAAGTCGCACTGTTGAGGAGCCCTATACTAGGACGAAACGGCTGTCCAGTACTTCCAGGTTTTCAATGGTGGTCTAACATTGATCAGTTGATGATTTCAGTGAAATTAAAAAATATTCACAATCTCAAACTAAAAACTAATCATTGTACCACAACTGAATCACATCTTAGGTTTGTATTTCAAGTAGTTGTTATCACAATATTAAAAAGAAACTATTAATATACAGGACTTGATATAATTTTAAATGTAAAAATCTTTTTTAATAAGTTTCTCTTTTGAATACGGGAAATGCAATACGAAAATCTGGAAAAACCTCTCTAGTAATATCAACTACTATGCTCCAGTATTATCATGAACAGTAACTTCATTTCTTTATAAAAAAGGAAATTACATTTATTTACTATTCATTGCTCGAAGATTATTAAATTACTGAAAATAATAAAAATGGAATATTGTTTGTTTTCTGATAAGTTCTATTTCGAGTTGATATCTTTGTATAAATCAGAAAGTAACTAATTGATATCAGGTACGAATGAATTTGATCACGTGTGTAATAGTTGAATTATGATAAACAAGTTATGAACGAAATTTTTTTAGAAAACACTCGAAGTTGATAGTTTTAGATGAAACGATTAGTGACAAGAATCGAACTGCTGAAGAAAGTGGATATTTTTATACCCATGTATATACATACAAATACTCATGAACAGATAATGAATTAGCTTTACATTTGCCTTGATAACCATCTAGTTAGATAAATACTAAAAGAGATCTAAATTCATTTTTCTTTACTAGACTAGCTCAATATTTAGTTTCAGCTACAACGTAGGACCAGGCACATTTATGCATCGGTCCAAGTTGCCATACCTCATTGACACAACAAGATGAACACCAGGTTCATAAAAGTAGTTAATTCAATGGTGGTAATATATAAAAGAAAGATTGCAATAAGGATATAGTGCACGAAGAAACAATTAGTTCGTAGAAAGAAAGATATGGGGCAATTTTAGTCTCTTAGTTTAAGGGAAGACAGAGAGTGTATACACCGACGCCATTGTGATCGATTCTGAGTCATGTCACTAAGAGTCTCCAACCATTGGTTACGATAGTCACGCGGACCCCAACCAAGTAGTCTGCATCTACCAACATGGCTCAGACTAGAAGTTAGTGACTTCAAGCACTGATGCCATGTTTTGGTTTGGCCGCCCCTAACTTTCCTCCAACAATCCTGAACACCGGTTAGCATTGCACGTCGTGGTAGTCAGTGTTCAGGCATACGTAACACGTGGCCCAACCATCTCAGTCGATGAAGATCCACAATCTCATCAACTGATTTACCATCATTCCCTAATACCCTACGTCTAACCTCACTATTACTTATCCGGTGATCCCAGCAGACGCCAGCAATATTTCTGAGGCATCTGTGGTCAAATACTAGTAGCTTACGAGTGTTTTCTACTCTTAATGACCATGTTTCACAGTGGTAAATTAAAAAAGAACGGACTGCCGCGCAGTAGACTCGTCCTTTTATTGATAGACGGATATCTCGCCTTCGCCGCAGGTGGCGTAAGTTGGCAAATGCCAAGCGAGCTTTTCGAATCCGTGCTGAGATGTTGTCAGACACCAACCCATTAGGGCTGATCAGACTTCCAAGATAAGTGAAGTTGTCAACGCGTTCGACTAATAGTTAGTTCAATGTAGATCTTCAACTAGTATTTATACTTTAATGATAATTATCTGGTTTTAAGTTTAGATCCCTTGATACGGTAATTCAAGTTATTAATATAAAATGATTTTTTAAAATTTACTTTAAATATTTATCACAATTTCTTATTCGATTCATGGAGTGTATATTTAGCAAAAACTGTAAAGAAACTAGCGAGTCCAATAAAACTCAAAAGTAGAAACTTTTTTGATTTTCAATTAAAAAATTTATACCAACCGATTAGCATGAGTTAGTTTAACTACAAGTATAAAACGTGTTTATTTCATAATGTTGAATGTGTCACTCAATTTCGTGGATTAGTTGAAGTTAGACATTAACACAGTTGGATGCCGACTTAGTGGTCTAGAGATTTAGCATTCTCACGCGAGACCAATAAGTCCTGGGTCCGAATCTCGAGAAGTGGGATCGTGGATGCGCACTGAATTTTTGCAGTTTGTTTGTTTATTTTTACTCATAATATTTCCTTATTTTAGTAAAGTTGATCAGAATGGAGTTTAATGAGATTGTGAAAAAAAAGTTTACGACTGCATCTCAAGTCTTATTAACTTCCAGTTTAAAATCAAGATACACATGTGTAACTTAGAAAATATAATTAGATAGCACAGGTTAAATTTACGCTTGAAATAATCTGTTTCTGTTACGTTTCGTAAGAGTTAAGTGTTCTTGTCTCAAACAAAAAAACAACTAAATAAGGCATATTCAGATGACTTTAAATTGTCATGTTTAATTAACAAATTAATATATTAAACAGTACTCATTATGTAATTGAACTGACTTAAAACTCTCAAAACAGAAATTAGGTAAATTGAACGTTTCGCTTGCCAATTCCGTGTGGATTTCCCCAGGGAGATAATCAAAATTATTATTATTATTATTATTAATGTCAAAAATACAAATATGTGCTTAATTGTTTTTGATTATTTCTCTTAAGAAGCTTAGACCACATTGTAGAATAAAACGTTGACGTTATAAATTTTCAGTTGTTCAGATTCTATATGTACAATTTTTAATTTTAATGATTTTTATTCATATACAGGATCTAACTATTATGAAACTTCTCGTCCAAATCCGGACAGAAATTCTTATCAAACTATTTTTATGTCTCAGAAAAACTTATAGACAACCTTTTTGTATGCAAAGATGGATAATGGTTAGCAATGGAATCCAGGACGCGAGTTTCATCCTATTTGGCACTCGTCAGTTGAATGTACCTGTATCCCAGAGTTCATGTTCACTGTAGGACACGAACCTAGTACCGTTCGCTTCAAACGCCATCTCATTATCCATTTAGCTACTGATCCCTAATGGCCACGTGCTTGTGCATTGGGGTGAATTATAAATTCACTGGGTGTTGTTTTATTTGTATCTTCTCATTGTTCTTTAGGACTGCAATTGATCTGTCTCGTATTGGCATATGTGTGTTCCGTGCGGATTGCCTCGATATAGCCTTAAGTCATGGTGGTGGGTTCGAGTCCCGAATTGAACATCAACTCAGAGATGCAGGTACGTTCACTCGAAGAGTTCAAAATAGGACGAAACGCGCTTCCTGAATTCCACTGCTAGCCACTATCCATCTTTGCTTATAAAGCTTTTGACATAAGGCAATATCAAGGCAATACGCACAGGGCGCACATATGTCAACAAGAGACTGATGAATTGCAGTCCTAAACAACAATGGGAAGGTACAAGTAAAACAACGCCAAGTGAACTTAATCTTTTTGTATGTTTCATATTCATACAATGACTTCTATAAATGATAAATGATACCATAGATTTCTGACATTCATTTATTGCTGTCAAAAAAACTGTATTTTATAATTCTTTGCATTACGTTTAGTCAACTACAGTGATAGAATAAAACTACACAAAACATTGGAATGTATTTTGTCATTGACTTTGTTTGAATTAAGTATCTATTCATTAAGATTGATTTAATTTACAATGGATTAATTAGGCAAATTTTTAGACGCATATTTAAAAAAAAACAACTTAATGTTTGTTGTTATTGTATTGAATAAATAAATAAGTCGAAAACTTATTTTCATCAACAAGGAATGTTCCAAAATTAGTGTTATTTGTCTATTTTCAGCTTTATTATAAAAAAAAGGACCATGGGTCTTTCTTTTAATAGACCAAGTAAGAGATAAACTCAGTAGAACAATTACTTTCTAATTTGTTTAATCATTTGAGTAAATAATAAACCAAATAATTTATTAGTATTTAATAACAGTTGACTAATGAACTGATAAGATGTAGTAAATATTTAATATGAAAGTTTTGTTCATGCAGCAATGTATAATCGTAACACATGAATACTCTGTTAGGAAAGCGGATAAGAGGAAGGTCAAAGAACAAATTACGTCGAGAAATAAAAGCAGATATGAAAAGGATGAATAACAGCTGGAAAGAACTGAAAATGATTGCTCAGGACAGGGTTGGATGGAGAATGCTGGTGGGAGATCTATCCTCCTCAACGAGAAGTAACAGACGTAAGTAAGTATGAATACTCTATGCTGAGTAAATCCAAGTAAGTCAATATATAATTAGAAATTCACTGTATATCAGAGCAAATATGTATTATAGGCTATATTAATCAAATAATATTTTGGTAAAAGTTTCATCTTATTTTCTTCTGAAAGATTCTTCATAGCTCCTAAATAACATTTATAGAAGTTTTGTTTTAAAGT